GAGCCAGGTGACGTCGGGCAGCGGGTGTCCGGTGACGGTGGCCTCCAGCTGCAGCGGGCCGCCCTGCTCGAGCCGCGCGTCCCGCAGCGGCCTGCTGAACAGCGGCGGCGACAGCGGCTCCCGCGGCTCCGGCTCTGGGGGCGGCGCGACGTCAGCGGCTCCACCGGCCGGCGCACGCTGGTGACGTCACACCGAGCGCAGACTCCGTGCAAGAGACGGCGGAACATGGAGGAAAACGGCAGCCTGGAGTGTTAAAGTCTTTGATACAGACCAGATGTGGAATGACCGGAACAAAAACCGTGTTTCAGATGACTTACAGATGGTTTCAGATAGTACTATTTCGGAAACAGTGTCAAGTGATAAATCAAGCCTAATTTAAAGCGAAACGTTTCAGGTTAAATCATCCATCCATAAATCAAATTAATCAAGTTAATCCAATCATCGGGAACAACGTCGCGAAATAACGGCATGCAGCCAGACAACCGAATGACTGTCGATCTGCCACTCCTGACGGCAGCGAGGCCATGCGGGGAGGATCGTGGGAACTGACCATTGACAGTGAGCCGTGCGCTGGTCTCGCTGACCCCGGCTGGGTTCCAGGCGCGGCAGGTGAACGTGCCGCTGTCCTCCACCAGCGTCTCCTCGATGGTCAGCGTGCACACGCCGTTCTCGCTGGTGATGGCGTAGTCGGAGTTGTTGTCACACGATACGCCGTCTTTCTGCCAGTTAGTCTTGGGCTGCGGCTCTCCGATGACCCTGAAGATAGACACCATGTTTCACAGGGAACAACGACCAAAGCAACAGTGCTCACAGAAAATAATAGACATACACGTATTCGAGAAGCCAGACGAAAGTAAAGCCAACTGAGGTATCCTTGACGATCCTTGGTAATTCTGTGGTGCTGAATATTTTAACATGCCGCAGGAGACACTAGGATAGCAGCTCGAGGATACCCGCCACACGTGGTGTGACCACTAACGGCATCGTCTACCCCCGCCACTCTGCCCGCTCCCCCGTGGTGGCTGACCCTCCAGCCTCGCCACCCTCCGCACCTGGTCTCCAGGGTGTGTCGCTCGCCTTCCTCCACCGTGCGGTCCTGCAGCGGCTGGGTGAAAACGGGCGGAGCGGGCGGCGGCGCGTGACCCAGCCGCGGTCGCCGGGACGCCGACACCGGGGCGACCTCCTCCACCAGCCACGGGACCGTCCCGGCGTCAACCACCGAGACGCTCGCCTCCTGCGTCGACGCGTCTGAGGTGCCCACCGGGATCTTCTGCGTGGACGCGTCCGAAGTGCCGACGGGTAGCTTCTGGGTTGACGCGTCCGATGTGCCGACCGGAATCTCTTGCGTTGAAGCATCGGAGGTGCCGACTGGAATCTCTTGCGTTGAGGCATCGGAGGTGCCAACTGGAATCTCTTGCGTTGAGGCATCGGATGTGCCGACTGGAATCTCTTGCGTTGAAGCATCGGAGGTGCCGACTGGAATCTCTTGCGTTGAGGCATCTGAAGTGCCCACCGCAATCTTCTGCGTTGAAGCATCGGAGGTGCCGACCGGAATCTCTTGTGTTGATGCATCGGAGGTGCCAACTGGAATCTTCTGCGTCGAGGCGTCCGAGGTACCAACCGGAATTTCTTGGGTGGCGCGGTCAACTGTTACCTGGAGCACGGAATATAAAATTGCCAATACGCTCTAAATAGATGGGTTTTAACACTCCATTTATATAAATGTGTTGGTTCTGTTGTTATCATCCCCGACGAGCACATCACTGACACTAAAAATATAACGCTACAATATGTATGACACAAGAGTGGATATGTGGTAGCCATCCTTGGCCAGGCAACCATGCCACAATTCCAAGTCATTTTAACGCTGAAAATGGGCTCCCGTAAAACCCACCCCGACCTTACATTAGCGATACGCACCGGACTACTGAATCGCCCAGTTCGCGATCGCTTCTCTCGCATTGCAGCCGACTTTGAGAAGGGTATGAGAGGAGACATCGGCACTGCCGACACATTCCTACGCCGAAGGGACATCACAAGCAGCACCATGTTCTGTGACGTTCTCTACCTTTTCCACGTGGGCCACGGTTTCGGTGCAGACGTCGACCTTGGGTACGACCAGCGGCGTGATAGGCCGCGGCATCTCCTGCAGGGCCAGGGCGGCCGCCTCGGCGGCGCGGCGGGCCTCGTCGGCGGCCGAGGCGGCGGCGCGCGCCGCGTCTGCCTCCTGACAACGGAGAGGCGCCGACGCGTCACCACCTCGGACGGCAGGTACTGATCGGCAGTCTGTCTTCTGACTGAGCTGTCAGCCTGCTTACGTAGAGAAGCGCAGACCGCTGGTTCGCCTACACGGGCTCAAAATGCTGACTCATTTACATGGGTGGGCGAGCTGAAGTCCTCTGACCAGCAGAGACAGACTAAACGTCCATGTGCCGGCTGTCACATCCACATACAGGCCGTTAGGTCAACATACAGGTCGTTACGTCCACATACATACTGTCACGTTCGCATACAGGCCGCCGAAGCTCACTGACTGGAACAGAGCGCTGACTGGACGGGAAATGCCAACAGATCGACACACAGGTAGCTCGTTATCATTCGCAAGCCGGCACATATCTGTTAGCTTGATCTGGGACGAATCCAGTCAAAAATCTGCAAGTCCACGTTACGACACGCCCTCCCCACACCAAACGCCACCCCCCCCCCCCCCCCCCCCCCCACACACACCGCCGCGGCCCGCTCCGCTGACCGCTGGCCGGTCCGCTGACCGCTGGCCGGTCCGCTGACCTGCTGGGCGGCGCGCGCCGTCAGCGTCAGCTGGTCGTTGTGGCGGCGCAGCTCCTCGCGCTCGGCGTCGGCCGTCTCCAGCGTGCGCACCAGCGTCTGGAGCTCCTCGCGCACGGTGCGCAGCGACTCCACCATCTCCTGGTGCTGCCGCGTCACCGTCACCACCCGCTCCGGCTGGCGCGTGCCTGCCGAGGCCGGGGCGCGGTCGTCATCTCAGCGGTCGGACGTCCGGCGCCGCATCGGCAGCGGCCAGACCACAGCACGTGACTGGAGAAGGCCCACCCGCGGCAGGCGAACCCTCGCGCACCGAATGAGCGGTGATCACAATGTACGAAACATAGTGTTTGGCAATGCGTCATGGACGCATGCTACTGCCACTGTTTCATGGAACAGTTTGCCCACTCTAATTCAATTCAATCAAGCTGAATACAACAAGATGTCAGAGTATCTCACTGCATGTATGCTGCATGACGCATCGTCCATCGCTCCCCGCGTACGTCACATCGTCAGAGTATCTCACTGCATGTATGCTGCATGACACATCGTCCGTCGCTCCCCGCGTACGTCACATCGTCAGAGTATCTCACTGCATGTATGCTGCACGACGCATCGTCCGTCGCACCCCGCGTACGTCACATCGTCAGAGTATCTCACTGCATGTATGCTGCATGACACATCGTCCGTCGCTCCCCGCATACGTCACATCGTCAGAGTATCTCACTGCATGTATGCTGCATGACGCATCGTCCGTCGCTCCCCCGTACGTCACATCGTCAGAGTATCTCACTGAATGTACGCTGCACGACGCATCGTCCGTCGCTCCCCGCGTACGTCACATCGTCAGAGTATCTCACTGCATGCATGCTGCACGACGCATCGTCCGTCGGTCCCCGCGTACGTCACCTCGTCAGAGAATCTCACTGCATGTATGCTGCATGACGCATCGTCCGTCGCTCCCCGCGTACGTCACATCGTCAGAGTATCTCACTGCATGTATGCTGCATGACACATCGTCCGTCGCCCCCGCATACGTCACATCGTCAGAGTATCTCGCTGCATGTATGCTGCATGACGCATCGTCCGTCGCTCCCCGCGTACGTCACATCACTGACCGTAGAGCTGTTCAGCCA